GGTTTGTTTTCCGTGAATTCTGTTTTTGAGCAACAGTATGCAAATTCGTCATTGCACTATAGTCAACTTGCCATTATTATTATTATTGTTCGGCGAATTCCCGTTCCTTGGCCCTATTTTCGTTGAACCATCTGACCTCGGGCAGTCGCCTGTCACATTGCGCCTCTGCAAGAAGTCGTACGATTGTAGTAATTTGGTACTTGAATCAGCCGTAATTTGGTTTTCCGGTAACTTTTCCTGGTTGCTTTGACCAATGCTGTTTTGTTGCTTCCTGGTGATTTGCTTCCTAGTGATTTTGACATTTATTGCGTCTCCTAAAGAGATTACCAGCCTCAGCATGTGGCTTTTCAGACAGCATTGAGCATGATCGTTCGGTGGATGATGATTATGGAAGCTTCATGGGTCGTGCTGATTCAGAGTTACTGAATCAGTCAATTGAAGCAGCTATGCCGAAACGGTATGTCCAGTTCTTACATTAATTTTGTTAAAATTTCCATAATCTGAGATAAGTTCGCTTATCATTCGTTACTTGATACGGCATTTCCGTCACTGATGCACTTTCATAATTTGGTATGCTGCCATAATTCAACCGGTGAGCATACCTAGTGGGGGTAACGAAACGATCTCATCGTTTCCATAATTTTTTCATATCATATACAATACTAGTTATATTCACACAATCTTCGCGTGAGCAATCTTCAGACAACAACATCCCTTCATTTTGACGCGTCAAAAACGCTGTATTTGTTTCGGAGTAGCGCTTGAAAGTAACAGAAATCTGCAATCTTTTTTGCTTCTCATAAAGAATTAATACGAAGAGGGGTGATGTGCACATGAGCACGGAAATACGTGTTGTTTTTTTTTTTTGCTCAAGAGATAACTTTATTCTACATTTTTAATCAGCAAATGCTGAAAAGATGGCAAAATGGCAGCAATTATTGGTCTCATTACACGTCTTTTGTTGTTTTAGAGTGGAAATCAATGAAGAATTTCTCGCTGATATGATTGAGCAGGCACAACCGAAACCATCACCCTCGAAACGTCGCGACGGTGACGCAGGACGTAACTTTTCGCGAGCATCCACGGCCAAAGTACGCTCCGGTGCATCGAGTACCAAAAGTATGAAATTTGAAATTTTTTTTTTTTTTTGGGAAAATAGACAGTATTCTGTTTATTATTAGCTGAAATTGTCGGTATTTTTGATATCATTAAATTTTCCCGGATTGTCAGTGTGTGGGGGAGAAAAGTTTTCACTGGTATTCCTAAAATATACTTGTGGGCTTGGCGCAGTTTACTACCACCAGCTTTCTTTGTTTATTTTCATGGAATCATTTCTTCTGGGATCATTCGAACAGTCGCTTTTACGCATTTTCAGTTGCTGATAATCAACCTCCACCGGGCCCTGTGGATTTAGGTCTCTCAGGTGGCAGCGGATATTAATGTTGATAGAATAAAGCTCATATTTAAGACAAATAGCTGGCGATAGAAATGCCTCTCATCTCATCTTTTCCATAATTAAATCCACCCAAGCACAGCCACAGTTGCAGTTTATCTTTTAATCTTTTCATCGAATTTTTTATCTTTGTATTTTTCATCTTTCTGTCAATATTTTTGTCTTATGCGAATTTTCTATCGTAGTTTTTTTTTTTTGTAGCAACATCAGCAGTAGCTGATGACGACGATTTTTTGCTTCAAAGTATTGCCAGTGTGCTGCCGCAAAGTTCAAGCAGCAGACGAACTCGATCATCAGGCTTGGGTACGCCGCCAAAAAAAGCCAGGGCCATGACGGGCGAAGCCGCAGGCACGTCAAATGGCCCTAAACGTGTTCCCCCTCGTGCGGTACTCCCAAATGCTCACAATCCTCCTTCTCCACACAGTTGTTCGGTGATACGAACGAAAGATTCACTGCGACCAGCTGGAATCAGTTTGAAGAAATCCAGTAAATGCGCCATCAATAATAATTCATCGTCATCGGCACTTTTCAACGCAGCGCTACAAAGTTCGGCACTGGTTGAAAGCCAAAAAACATCCGAGAAAGTACGCGATGCTTCATCCTTAATGCAACAACAGCATCAGCCAAATGAGGTACGCTGAAATTTGGACATGTTTCTGATTATCAGCTTTACATAATATAATTTATAGTTATTATTCCAGTTGAAATCTGACTATGAATTAACTGTGAAATTATAGCTGTCCCAGTTATTTCAAGTCTGACAATCAGTATTATCACTGACTGTTTTTGTCAGTCACTGACGAAAGCAGAAGAGCGAGTGCTGACTGTGACAGTGGAGCAAAGAATGCTTGGAGTGTCTCTCTTCTTTACTATATAAACAGTCAGGCTTTTTGTCAAATGCAGAATCTCATTGCTATCAAGTAAGAAAGTAAAGTCCGATGGCAGGGCGTGATGCTCCTCTAGCGTTGCGCATTAGTAAGTATTATCACTGTGAGAAAGTAAGCGACCAGTAGATGGTCTCGCGAAGAAATAGCGCTCAAACGTTTGAACAGACAATGGTCACTAATTGGAGATAGGCAGACTGGGATCAAAGGTCTGGCTAGTGGAACCGGCGTATAGGATCACTGTAGTAACATGACTAGCATGGAATTCGGACTCTTCTAGTGTGATTATCGGTTTATTAGCGGAATTTTGATACATATGAAGAATAGGTTTCATTCGGTGGTTTTAAGCCAGCAGCTCAGTTCTGAAAGTGAACAGCACTTACTGTTATACCAGACCTGTCTGAATGGATTCCTAAGTATCAAAAAGTAGAAAAAAAAAACAGATCATTAAAAGTAAAAAGGCAAATTTGTTATTTTAAATAAAAAATACTGTAAGAATTGCGGGACTTTTCAGCAGTGATCTTTTTAAAAGTGTAAAATTTTTCACTTCAGATATTTCATTTTTCAGGAAAGCGATACGCTAAGCGAAGATAATTACAGCCCTCTAACTGATAATGCTATGGTTGTTGATAAGAATGTGCCACGAGATGTGGACGAAGAGTTTCAAGCGGAACAGCTTATCATTGATTGCAGCGTTGTTTCGGATACTGTTAAACAAACAGCTGTAAGGCCAGTCCAAAAACTGAGGTCACTTTTTATGCTTTTTCTGCTGTACAACAGCTATATAAAACGGATTTTGTTACGGGATTACTTGTGTGTGTTTGTGTGTGTGTGTGTGTGTGTCATATGCTTCTTGTCCGCAGTTTTCAACTCGGGAACTACAAAAGCTGGGAAGCTGAAAATTTAGGGGAGTATTCCTCACCAGTGTGTGCCCTCGCAAATTTAAATTCAGTCTTCCCGTGCCCGCGGTCAGCAAATACGGCCCCGTAAAAGTTTCAACAGAGAAAATTATTATATCGAGAACCACAAAAGCTAGGAAGCTAAAGTTTCATGGGTATGTTCTGTGCTCAGGGGCAACCCAGAATATAGCTCAGTTTTTATCC